TTTGAGTGACTGTTGTGGATTTTGTCTTTTCTTTAATGGGAGGGGACGGTGTGCTGGCTGATGGGATCTGTGGCTTGTAACCGGAAGGAACTTAAATGTACAAGGGAATATATTTATATATATTAAAAAAAATGCATACTCTCTGTCAGCTGCTACTTAAAATTTAAGTTTGTATTAGTTATTTGTTTGTTTGTTTTTGTCTTGTTAGTTTTGAAGCCTGTTGTAAACACTTACAAAATGTTAGAATCGAAACACGACCCTGAGCTTTAAGCTTGAATACGGTTCTTCAACAATGGGCAGACGTACAAATAAAATAAACTCTCATGTACCATCTTGTCCGTTTAAAGCTTTTCCGTCCGCTCAGAGTAACGTTTATGTTGGTCATAGTTTTCTGATCTGTGACACTAAACATGGTCCTCGTTAGTGTGTTTCATGAAAACAGTGACCTGCTTTGGTGTTCCTCAGGGAAACGGTTAACTTCACTTTTGCACTCAGGCTGGTGGTGTACAGCCCTAATGACGGCCATCTTACACCGTAGATGCACCACGTTGATCGTATTTAACGAGCTAGTGTTGGTGTTTTAGATCTCCAAACTACATCCAAGAAATAAAAACCGATGTGGAGTTTTTGTTTTTTTGGTAGCTGTGCTCCTAAAGTTCATGAACATTTTACCAAACGGCACTTAAAACCAATCTGAGCAATTTTACCAGCTTCCTCCTCCTACCATGTGAAGAGCATCTTTTTTTCCCTTTTGTTTTTTGTTGTGAAGTCTCTGTACACACTGTAATTATTCTTGCCTGTTTTCTTCTTAATGACAAGAACTGTATATGAAAGGTTCATCATCATGAGAATATAATGGATTGTGAATGTTATATTACTTTCATTTCACTTTGGCTGTCACTTTTCTAAGCTCAATAAACATTCTCTACATGTGATCGCACTGAAGGAACAAAAGCATTTTTTTCTTTTAGAATTAGAGGTCATGTTTTTAGTGAGCTTCTCTGTCATGCAGCAGTCGGTCATAAATAAGATGTTGTCATTTTGCCGACTGAAGAATTCCTCCTGTGGTTGTTTTTGTCTTCTTTTGTCTCTCTTTAGATGTTCTGTGTGTTTGGAACAACACCACAAACTGGTGTCAAAGTCACACTGTTCAGGAAAATACACACACACTGATTAGAATATTTGTTAAAAGGCACAAATGGATTCGACTTCGCTGAACACATACATTTTACTGTCATGTAGCACCAAGAAGAGCAGCAACTTTTTACATTTGACAACCTGAATCCATGAAATTTCACTTGAAGAGTGACTTCTTGACAATTGATAGATGATTAAATTGTCATTTCCGTTGACTTAATTGATTCTTTCAGCTGTAATGGTGAACTGTGAATCAAATAAACATTCAGAAGCTGTTTTTAATGCGCTGTTGGAGTTGCTGCATGAACCACTCGGAGCCATGATGTGGAACATACTCATCAGGTTCTAAAAGGCCTCTATTTTGTCTTGTTACCAATCTGTAGCTTCGGTGCTTGTTCCTAATTAAAATATAACTGATTATGAATAACTGGGGGTTACAAGGTGGCTCGGTGCTTCGTACTGTTGCCTCGCAGCAAGGAGGTCGCCGGTTCGCGCCCCGGTGAGGACACCCGGGATCTTTCTCTGTGCAGCGTGGGTCCTCTCTGGGTTCTCCGGCTTCCTCCCACAGTCCAGAAACATGTTGAGGTTAATTGGTGATTCTAAATTGTCCGTAGGTGTGAATGTGAGTGTGCTTGGTTGTCTGTCTCTAAGTGTAGCCCTGTGATAGACTGCTTACCTGTCCAGGTGAACCTGCCTTCACCCTGAGTCAGCTGGGATAGACTCCAGCCCCCCATGACCCTAGTGAGGGTTAAGCGGTGTATAGATGATGGATGGATGGATGTTTCACCGGGCTTGCCTGAGAAGTCTGCTGCATAACGTCAGAGCTGCAGCTGTACCTTTCCAGGTAGGATTATATAATGCTTGTGTGAATGCCACTGAATTCTCTTTTCTTTCTCTCCAGATTCACACAGACGGCACTCTTTGTCCCCAACAAGTGACTGTAATCAGAGTGACTCACACGGTGAACGCCTGCCACTCCCTTGGCTCAGGTCAGCATTTTTCTCATGTTAACACTCATATCATGTTGTCATGGGGGGTGTTTGGTTTATGTGTGTTTTTCTTTCCTCTGTCTGGATTCCTGAAAGTCGCAAGTCAACTATACTGCTGGCTGAAATGCCTGTGGATGCGTGTACACTGTTTATGTGTGCATGCAGATGGCCTGGTGTCTGCTGTGTTTGTGTTTGTATGCATATGAGCCATGGGCGTGTGGTAGTTAAGGTGTGTTTGCAGGAGGGCGTGTGATGTGAATGAGCGCGTTTGTGTCTGTTGACAGTTAATGGAGGCAGGATATTAGGGTGGAACCTGTTTGTCTGCTTCTAGTCGAGTATTGGTCCACCTGAGCGGCGCTCCTCTTGTCATTTGCTGGCTGCAGAGCAAACAGCATGGACTGATAAGTCTGCGCTGTAACTTTACGACACAGCTCCAACAACACAGAAAAACACCTGCCCGATGGATTCTGAGGTCAGTTTTATTTCTTCTGTTTGCTTTCCAGCGGTGTGTTTGCTTTATCCTGCCTGGTGCTGGTCCTTAAGGTGCGGGATGTGGGTGACAACAGGCTGCATTTCAAGTTCAGTTGGCAGCTAGTTTCTGTCAAACCAGAGCCAGTGCATCATGAGATATGAGCTCATGTCTGTTTCAACCTGCATGTTTCTGTGGATGCATTTCTGCTGACGTGTGGAGCAAACTTAGAGTTGTTTTTTAAAAGGTGGTACTTTCCTCAACCACACAGTCTGTTTTCATGCTTTTTATTCCAAAAATTAGATCTAAACGCGTCAGTTTTGTATTTTCAAAAGGACTCCTCACCTTGACGTGTCCTTTATGATTAGAAAATACAAACTAGCTCCTCTCATGCCAGGTTTCCAAAGTGCTGATGGTGCACAATCTTGTGTTGCTAATGAAACCAAAAAAAATCTTTTTGTTGACTTGCTGTGTTTTGCGTTGATCTCTTTGTGACGGAACGTTTTCATTTTTGCAGCTGAAGGCGAGTTGACTTTGGCTTATCTGTAAGATGTTTGTTGTTCAACTTTAAAACTCGTAAACCAGCGTCGTCCTTTGTTGAAATGTCGTCTGGGGCTGTGCAATATGAGATGACTTCCAAAAATCTGGTGTTTTTGTGGCGATGACGGCGTCTGTCAGGGAACACCTGAGACCCAGCCGGGCACGTGAGATATTCCAAACAATTACAACTCAATATTAGAGGAAACCCCTCTGAATGTAATGCAGTCTAGTAAACCACCATCATTACCTTTTTGACAACAAGAATTTAAAATGTGGAAGCTTCATAAAAGCAGAATTTATGGACAGTTGTAATAGATTACATTAGATAATAAAGTGGATGCTAGGTGGACATTTCTGAGTACTGTAGTTTGCTTTACAATTTAAAATGAACAATTCAATCTGTACTTTTGATGTTGTCAGTGAATGCCACTTGGTGTTGATATAATTATTATTTATCTTGAAGGTCTTGTCAGATTCGAGCAGCTTTAACATCCATTACAAGTTCCAGTCTGCGTTTAAAGCTCTCTATAATACAGCCTCTACTCTGTTAAAGATCCATAACAACATCCTCGTGTCCATTTCCTTGATGTTTATTTTAGTCAGAAAAATTTGAATGTCATTTTATGCCGTAGGGTCTTTACCTCATTATTTAAACTTGTCCTTAACACCTGATCCCACTGCTGCTTTATAATGACCCAATAAATAAATGAATAAATGCATGTGTGTTTTATAAATCATGCACATGTAGTCGCAAACGAATCCTATTTTTCATAGTTTAATTTGGATTTTGTAAAAGCTGCAGTTAGGCAGTGATGTAGAATTAAGCCCGGTTTCATTCATCCCAGCTCATCTTGGTTCAGGATTTTATGTGATATTATCAGATTGTAATGTGTGCTGGAATCATGGCAGGTCTGTCAGAGTTCTGCCAGAATCTCAGAAGGCAGCGGGTGTGGCTACTGCTTACAAAAAAGGAAACAACAAAATACAGAACACTTACTCACAGCGCTCTCGATAAACCTGTTCCTGGTTTTCCTCAGCGATGGCCCATCAACCCCAAGGCCATAACTGGAATACCTGAGAGATGCATCTGCTCAGATACCTGGTGTCCCTCCTTTAACCCCGTGCAGGACTTTCACGTTGTCGTACTTAGAAGACCCCAAGAAAGAATGTGTGCAGAGTATTTGTTGATATTCATTGCAGACATTTATAAGATGTTAAATACATTTTCTGATAAGTTGACGTGTTTTTGGTTCCAAATGCAGGACAAGTGTCCCTCTTTTCATATTTAAAAAAAAGTCTTCAAAATAGGAACAAAAGCAGTACCTGTCACCTAAACCAAATGGCCTGGGGTCCAAAAAGTCCTGAATAGGGTTAAGTAGAAAATACAGCACAAAAACTAAATTAACGTTAAAGTTTTTCCTGTCTTCCTCTGCCATCAGCACAGGTCACATGTTGATATCGTTCCCCACATAAAACAACACATTCTTAACTTGTCCTTTTTCTTCTTCTTTTTTTTAAAAAACATTTTTCATGGGCATTGTTCTTCCCTCCTTGTTTTTGAACTACTTTTAAATGGAGTTCATTTTAGATGTCAGGAAAACCCACTTTACCTTCTGTTCATTGGCTGAATTTAACTGATTAAAGAGGTGAAGCTGTGGCTATGATCTTTGCTAAATTCACCTGGTTCACCTGATGGAAGGCCTGTGAATGTTCTGCCATGTGTTAGGGTGTCACAAATGTACAGCTGTTATTTATCATATTGCCATAATAGTGGAATCTGTTCACTGATTTTTTTTTCTCCCTCATAGGCTTAGTCAGAGTGGACTTTCAGGGAAATACAAGAACCATGGTATGAAGCATCAACCTGCTGTTGTATTTTTTGTTCATTAGATACAGCATACGATAACATTTGCATTTTAGTTTGTTTGGTGAAGGAGTGCTTCTGTTAGAAACACTGAAAACACATGAAATGTTTTTGCTTGCAGCCTTCACACCGCAGAGGACGGAGCCTCTCCGAGGCCCTGACTCTGGAGCAGTTAGACGAGGGAGGAGTGGTCATCTCCAGCATCAACAACGGCGCCTCATCCGACCAGGGACTGAAGGAAGGTATGAGCTTTGACTCCGTATTGAAGCTTTGTTCCATTTTGCTTTTGACTGTTTTAAAAGCAAGAAGTAAAATAGTTTATCTCCGCAAGAACACACCTTCAGTTTGAAGAGATCATTCTACTCTTGATTTAGGTCCAAGGCTGTGTAATTAACTACTCTGAGTGTTTTTGTTTAAAACTTGTGGTCACTTTTGGCTGCAATTTCTGTTTTGTGAAAAGCAATGTTGTTGTAGTGGATGTGAACATGAATTTAGATTTATTTAATCGCTCAGTGTAATTGTAATCGACTGTGGTTGAAGCATGACTTTAGAAACGTGTCTGCGATGTTTGCTTTGTTAGAGTTTCCTGTTGTGATTTTCTTATACAAAAGTCATGAACTATCAAAACACAAGTTTCTTTTTGCTTGAAATGTCTCGAACACTTTCCTGTTCAATGGTTCTGAAGGGAAAAACAAAGACAGTGTATGTCTGAGGTGTCAAACATTCCATCACACCAGGAAATATCTCTCCCAGCTCCGTCAGGGAGGTTTGGCAAGACCTGAGCTGAGGAGTTACTTGGTTAGTTAGTGCCAAGAGTTTAGACTCCAGATCACGCTGCTGTTTTATGCAAATACTTTAATTTTTCTTTTTCAGGGGATGAAATTTTGGGAGCAACAATAAATTTTGATCAACTGTCAAAAGAGGAGGTGTTAGAAGTATTGAAGCTGATGGAACCGTTTGATGACAAGATCCAAGTCCTCACGCGGAACAACCTGAGCAAGAGCCTCGGAAATCTGGACCAGTATGCCAGGGATCCCGAGACAGTAGGTGGAATACAGATACTATCAAGTTTATCAATTAGTAATTTAATTACTTTTCATAACTGTATGCAGCAGGTGCCATAACAGCTGCTAGAGAACATCAACTGTGACATTGCACTTACAATCTATTCACTAAGTTGTGACTTAAATTTCTAGATGCTGAAGGACTCCTACAGCAAACTCTACAATGCCAAAGTCAAGAGGTTTATGAGGGGTGAGGAGCCTAATGCTGAGGAAGGGTATGTGAACGGGGAAGTTACTGGCAAGCCAACAATACCAGGCTCATCCAAGGTCAACCTAAAACATGACACGGGGTTGCCTCGATTCGGAGTTGACTTTGGACTTCTGAAATCCAAGACTTTGAGCACTGACACTGATGCTGATTCACAGTTTGGTGCTAGAGAATTAACAGATGGCAGAAACCTGAACCTTCCGCCGTTTGGTCTCGGCTTGAATGGGACTTCTCTAAATAGAGCTCAGGAATCAGGACTAGAACTTGATGCAAGAAGTCCACAGCTTAAAACTCCAGACTTCATTCTGTCTGGCAGATTACCAGAGGATCCAAATGTTAGTGCTACAGCTGGAATGCAACTGCCAAATACTGACAGTCCATCAGTTGACTTGGCAATGGCAAATCTTGAAAGACCTCAAATTGGACTGGAAAGCAACAGAACTTACAAAGCTCCAGAAATCGCAACAAACTTAAAAGGTTTAGATGTTACAACCCCTAAAATGGGGTTAAACCTTGATGGAGGAAATATCACTGGCCCATCCCTTAATACTGGCGTTCCCCAGGTGAGCATTGAAGGAACAAACCATGATTTCAAAATGCCAAAATATAAAATGCCAGACCTGGGCCTCTCTGGACCTCATGCTCAGTATTCCAAGAGACTGAAAAACCCAGATCTAAATGTGGATGATCCCTCCAGTTACCTTGAATCTCCCAACCTTGTTGGTGTTAAAACACCTGACCTGAGTCTGAAAAATCCAAAGGTGAAAGGTGGGATTTCTACACCTGATATCAATCTTCCCAAAGCTAGCCCACAAGGACCAAATCTGGCTGCTGACACTCCATCAGTCAGCATCGAAGGTCCATCTGGAAAATACAAGGCACCTAAGTTTGCAATGCCCAAATTTGATTTACCAGACATTAAAGTTCCAAGTTTTAATGGAGAATTGGAGGGACCCAATTTCAAAGGTGCAATGGCACACCCAAATGTTGACGTAAATGTACCATCAACTGACATGAATATTAAAAGCCCATCCGGAAAACTGAAAATACCAGGCTTTGGGCTATCTGGTTCTAAAGTTGAACGCCCTGGATATCAGTTAGAAACTCCAGAAATGGATGTCTCTGCTCTGAAAGGTAAAGGGGGCATTAATTTCCCTGGTGTTGATCTAACAGACGCAAAGCTAAACCCTAATATGCCTGATGTGAATATGGCTTCTAGTAAATTTGACATTGATGCAAATGCTTCCTCTGGCAAACTTAAACTGCCAAAATTTAAGCTCTTTGGCACATTATCAAAGAAAAAAGATGTGGATGTCAATGCAGGCATAACTGGTCCTAACTTAGACCTAAAATCATCTGATCTAGATATCTCGGGTCCCAATCTCAGTGGTGGAATAAAGGCACCAGACATAAATATGCCTAAGATTGACCTCAAAGCCCCAAAACTGGACCTCAATACCCAAAATGTTGACTTAGACATGTCATCAGGCAAACTGAAAATGCCAGATGTTCATGCTCCAGACTGGGATGTCAGTCCTCGCTTGGGCAAAGTGAAAATGCCTAAGGTCAATCTTTCTGGTACATTACCAAAAGGGCCAAATATGGACCTAAATACAGATGTGAACCCACCAGATTGGAGTCTGAAAGCTCCAAAGATGAAAGGTGGGGTTAATGCCCCTGACTTTGACTTGCCAAACATGGACATTAAAGCTCCCAAGTTAGATGTGAATACTCCCAATGTCAACATTGGCTCACCAAAAGCAAAGCTGAAATTTCCTAAAATAAAAAGCCCAAA